TAACGAAATAAGAAGGAAGTTTATAACAAGTTTCAAGTGTAGAAACCCCCTTTGAAACTTCAATATTCCTCCCAACAAGCAAATCAGGCTCATGGTTGAAGTTGAACATCAATGGGTGACAAAGAGATACAACACTTAAGATGCAAACTCCATGAAAAGTTTGATATTCACCAATGGATTTAGGCATAGAACATGCCAAGATCAACTCAATTTTTCCTTGCTTAACCTGCATAAAAGTAGAAACACTAAACAAAGTAGAGTTAAGATCGTTAGAAAAAACATATGACCTCACATCCTTTCTCACAATCAGCTTACTCTTAGAATTTTTAATCTCTTTCTCATGCTCAGTAGCTGACTTTTCCCCCTCATTATTCTCAACCTCTTTCTCCTTTTCAACTCCCTCGAATCTTACCTCTTCAGTCACAATTCCCTCATCTAGCTCTTTCTTCATACTATAACGCTCATGCTCACTCTTCATGTATGCTAGATCAATACTAAGTTGCTTAGAATTAAGCGACACAAGCCTGGTACGTCGGCAATTAAATGTGAAGGAATACTTATTAGTATATCCATCATATTTGACTTCTCGATTAAACATCCACCATTGTCCCAACAGCACATGTGTCACTTGAATGGGAACTACATCACACAACACCTCATCCACGTATGGGCCAATACGGAAAGGAACAAGTGTGTGCTTAGTAATCCAAATATCACCACTATCACTTTGCAACTTGTAAGGTCGAAGATGATCAATGGTTGGAAGATTCAATTTCGCAACCAAGACAGTACTTGCGAGGTTAACTTCACAACCCTTATCAATGGCTAAACTGCAAACTTTATCCTTGATGTGGCAACGCGTATAAAACCAATCATTTTTTTGAGCTTCAATGATTTCAACTTGCTCAGTTATCTCACGCAATGCCACAGTATTTACTCCTTTAGGCACAAGATGGTGAGGCTCCAGTTGAGCATTTGTTTGTCTCATACTTTTATTACCTGTAAAACTCAACAAACATTAGTAGAACAGTCCTCACTCACTCCCTTACGTGTTTCGCTCAGCTCTCGTGTATGTCACTCAAAGAGCACTCCAATAATCTCGCCAATGCTCTCAAGCCCTCTTGATAGCTTACCTTGAAGAAATTAGAGCTCCTCCCAGGCAAACAATCAACTTCCAATTTTGGAGCACAAGAATATGGCAATTCTCAATGGGATAGAGAATAATGGAATGATTGACTCAAGGAACAATGAAATGACACGACTCAAATGAAAGGAAACAAAGAAGACTAAGACGCGGAAAGGAATTGAAGAAAATGACACGACCTAAAGAAAAAAAAAATACTCTGCCTTTTTTTTTTTTTTTAGAACAGCAAGCTGCCTTGCTTGTTAGTAGGTTCGAATGATTGCTAAGGGAAAGAGAGGGGTAGCGAATCAACTACCTAAAATCGGAGGGAAATTGACCAAAAAAAGGGAAAGGGGAAAAGGATAAGGAAAATCCTAAAATGTAGGAAAAGGGGAAGGCTAAAATGTAGGAGAGGGTGAGAAAATTTAGGAGAAAGTGTAGGAGACTGAAGTTGGACACTTTCACAATTATGAAACCTCAAGGTTAGGAAACCAATCAAAGGCACGGCTAACCTAAGCTATTAAATACCCTAATGGCCATGCACTATAACCCCACAACCTGCAAACAAATTCCACAATTCTGGTCAAGGCAACTCGGCAATTTGGCTAGTGTCAAGACAAGGGCAACGAGGTATGGACAAGCAAGGTGGTGCAACTAACCCTCCTCAGGCTCCCCCCCAACGGGTTACCCAAGATGTTCCCAAGATATTTACTCCAAAACCACGAAAACCCTTTACTTCCGCAAGGGAATACAAGAAACTTTTTAAAAGAAGAGTGAAACAAGTCCCCACGACTCAAAGTGTTCAAGAATTCCAAGAAGTAGTGGACCAAAACTTTTAACTTTGTTTGCTATGCTTTGTAGTTTTCGGCTCCACTATGTAATCTCAAAGTAATGGCAATAAAATCTGGAATTTCCTTGCCTTTGGCCGCAACACTATTTTTGTTTGCTGGATATTTTTTTTTTTTTTTATAACAACTAAGCAAAATAATAGGCGGCTGGGGTTGTCTTCTTTTGGAACTTGGCTGGCCGCACTTAATTGTGCATGGCCGACAAAGGAAACAATTCAGTTGTCATGCACAACAAAAACAATCCAATCAGTTTTCATGCACTTGCCGTTTCCAAGCTCACGGATTGCAAGGTAACAAAACTGGACAGACCACAATGGAGACAAAGGAAAACAACCCAGTTTCTTGCACGCCAACGGAAGCCAATCAGATTTCATGCAACTACCAATTTGTGTTATGGCCGACCAAGAAAGGAAACAAAACCAATCAGATTCAGCTAAGGGATTCGGCTCTTGATTCGGCCAAGGGCAATCCAAACAGGCCACGAACTTGCCAATTTTCTCCTCACACCTGGGGTTGTCTCCCAAAACACAAAACCTATGATTTAGTTTCCAACTACGGTGTACACCCCCCAAGCAGTCCACAATTTTCGAATTGCTAGGAGACAAAATCTGGACAGCTCACAATGGTTTCCACCCTTGACAACAACTCCTAGTTTCGGACGAACAAGGATACACAAGGCACGACAGCCGCTGCTTTTCCTTTTTTTTTTTTGACTCAAGCAAAAATAGACCCTAGGAAACCCTAATGACCCTCACGGCTAAACCACAAGGTATGGCAGCCGCACACGACTCAAGACAACCAACGAGGGATGCAAACAAAATATTTCAACGCAAAACAAAAGGACGCGATTGCAGACTGACTTGGACAGATTTGAGGCACTTTGGACAGAATTTTTGACTCTCAAACACGACAAACAACTTCAGGCTTATGCGGACAAATTGAAGCCAACAACGGGCAGAATTAAACACGACACAAAGAAGGGAAAATGACACAAATAATGGAGCAGCAAAACAGAATTTCTGACTCAAAACAAGACAAAACAAATGCGAGCAAAGCGTGGACAGTTTGTAGACAACAATGGAACAAATGACACGAAAAGAAGGAGAAACAAACGACACAAGGACAAGAATTAAGGGATATACGTGATACCTTCAACTAGCTCTGATGCCAGCTGATACGAACAGCACCAACCGTGTGATGCAACCCGTACAGAAAGACTTGGATCTAGAAGGTAGAGACTCACGTTGAAGACGACGAACGCAGCGGATCACCTAAACCCGTTGATCACGTGGTCAACGAACCTCGATATTTGTAGAAGACGCCACAATCTAGCGTGGTCCTAGATTGATAAGTCAATTGAATACCTAAGATACAAATCTAAGATATTCAAGGTGCTTCAATGAAGCTTTGAGAGAACTCTCAACGTAATTTTATTAATCGTCCAAAAACTCCCATGAAGGTCTCGTGCTTTGGCTATATATAGCCATACAACTTGAAAAACCTAAAGAGACTTGAAAACCCTAACTCGGCTAGGCTAGGCCTTTGGCCCGATTCCACTACTCAAATCCACTATCTAATGGTCAGCTTATAATCGATCCAATGAAGGTTTTAAGCTGGCCCAACATAACCCAATAAAAGCTAATTAACCAACTTAAGTAATAGTGAGCCTAGACTCTATAAATCGGATCCAACTCAACATGAGGTCATGGACCGAATTTATTCCTAGCAAATAAAATAGAAATTTGGAAAATAAACTACTAACTATTACTAAAAGATTCAGTCTCTTGCAGCCCAAAACATGGCCCATAAGCGGCCCATATTTCGTATCACCTCCAACTCTCAAGTGACTTTCTCTTACTCATAGTACTACAACAAGCTTACCTAGAGAGAAAATCTTACCACGTAAAGGCTACGCTAATATGCTAGGGAAGTTTAACAAAGAAATAAACACTTATTGTAAGGCCCAAAGACAACCTAAGAGGGGGGGTGAATTAGGTTGATTAAAATCTTAATCAAATTTATGCAATTTTTTTGCTTAATAAAAATTTACCTTCTTTTCTAGTAATGATCAATCAAGTAGATTAGAAGAAGAGAGCAATATTGATTCGAAAAACAAGTATAGATAAGCAATGAGAATTTTATTAAACAAAAAAGAATAAGATAGAATATCAAACCGATTGTCTACCAAGCTTTCCTCAAACTTGAAGACCAATCACTAGGTTGAGCAACTTCTCTTTGATGAAAGATGATCAACTAGATGTACAATGTAGGGAGCACTTCCTCCTTGCCCTAAGCCTCACTTAGTCAAGCTAAGAAGTTTTACAAACACTCAGATAACCCTCAACAAAGCTACACTAAAGAAACTTTCAATCACAAAAGAAATGCTCACAAGAAATTCACACCACTTGGAGAACAAATCTAGCTTTGGAGACTATGATGTGAGACGGATCTAGACGAACACCAAGTTGGGATGATTGGCGGAACTTTGACCCTTCTAGAATCACGAGCCACGAACTAAGGAGATGCCTTAACCCACGACTAGCAAATTTAGTGAACCAAAAGTATAGATAGAAGAACGCCACAATCAAGGAGACTACTTGATTGATAAGTTCGATGAACAACTTGAGATTAATTCTCAAGTATTCAAAGGAAATTCTCTTGAGGCAAGAGAGAGTGAAATAACTCACATATATTTTATAAAATCTGAATTCTCCTTTATTGAATGAAAACCTAGGCTATATATAGCCTTATAGGACTCAAACCCTAGAATGTCCAATGGACGACCTTGCCCTTCATTAAGGGCGAAAATGTCTAACAACTAATTGACTAAAATTAAGACTCCAAATTCGGCCAAAGTGAAGTGAAAATTGACCGAAATTATTAATGCTAACAAACAACTAATAATGGAAACTAAAACCCTAATTAGTAAGCTAGTACTCCGCGAACTAGTCTTTACTTGAATCTTCCAATTCCCCATGTGCTTGAATGGAATGGGCCTTGGTCTCTATATTCTCATCATTCCCCTCCTCTTAAAGGCGATTTGTCCCCAAATCATGACTCTTCTTACAAAACAAAGGTGATGAGAGGATGTGTATAGTCACCAAGCAGCCTGCATGTCGCCTTCTCAAGCGAAGAAAGATCAAGACACCCTTGTGGGACACCAGGAAAACTTGTGGTGGTGGTAGATACATGTTGTGGACAGCAAGAGTTCCATGATAATGGCCACACAAGTGACGTCTCAAGCCTATGGGTGGACCGTGAGCGGACGCCCGGTGAACCAAGGTTTGGTTGGGCTGCGCGTTGTACACATCAAGACGTGCAAAAGCGGCATCAAAGGCCATTGTAACCCGACTAGTGCTGGTTGGAACAAGTAGAACTGGTACAGCACAAGGGCTTAGATTCTCTTGAATCCAACCCTTACCAAGCAACTCCTCCACTTGTCGTTGTTGCTCCTTGGTTTCCTCAGGATTGGTCCTATATGGTGCCTTGTTTGGAAGGGAAGATCCAGGAATGAAATCAATTTGATGTTCAATTCCCCTTATGGAGGCAATCCATTAGGTATATCCTCAGGAAAGACGTCTTGATACTCCTGTAAGAGGTTAGTAATAACACTAGGCAAAGAAGCATCAAGAGCATTAGTGAGTAAGGATTCCTTGCCAAATAAAATAAATAAAACCTGATTAGAATGCAAGGCCTTTCTCACATCTTTCACCTTGGCAAGCATGCTGGGTTTTCTCTCCTGTGCGGGTTCGAAGACCGAATGAGAGTGATCCAACTTGCTTGAAGAAGGGTCGGCCAACACTAATTTCTTAGCTTTGGCGTTGTCCTTCTTGGTGGTAGCATGCAAGTCATACTCTTTTTGTAGACTAACTTGATCCTCATGTACTTGTTGAGGTGTAAGAGGTGCAAGTGTAATCTTTTTACAATGATGCATAAAAGAGTATTTGTTCAAGAAACCATCAAAAGTGACTCTTTGGTCAAATTGCCAAGGACGCCCTAAGAGTATATGTGCAGCTTGCATTGGTACTACATCACACATAACATCATCTTCATACCTACCAATGCGAAAAGTAACCAGAACTTGTTTAAGAACACGTACCTCTCCACTGTTGTTTAACCACTGAAGCTTGTAGGGACGGGGGTGCTCACTAGTTGGCAAGTTTAGTTTCTCCACCATCAATGCACTAGCAACATTAGTGCAACTTCCGGGGTCAATCACCAAGATGCATACCTTGTTGGTCACATGGCACCTAGTGTAAAAGATGTTGTCACGTTGAAGTTCATCCTTACTAGCTTGCGTAGCTAGTGCCCTTCTTGCTACCAATCCAACTTTGTCTTGAGTTGGAACTTCCTCTATCTCATCTTCCTCTTCAACCAAGGAAGGCATGTCTTTGTACTCCTCCTCTTCATCATCAGTGACAATGTCTCCATTTGGTAGCACAAGCATGGTTCTTGGATTTGGACATTGGCTTGCAATGTGCCCAATTCCTTGACACCTCCAACATTTGGTGTCACGATTCCTAGGTTTTGAAGTTTCAATTGTTGGTTTTGAAACAACCTTGGAGTCGGCTTTAGTAAAAGGTGGCCGTGAGCTTGACCCTTGATCTTGCTTCGGCTTTGGAGTGGTCCAAGTATTCGAACCTCTCTCTTCCCTGCTAGGCTGGAATGGTCGAGTAAATGTTTGTGGATGAGGGTTAGAATTTCTGGTTGTACCCCTCCTCTTGAGCCTTTGCTCAATCTTGATAGCCTTCTCCACCATATCTTCTATCTCCACATAGTATTGAAGCTCCAGTTGATCGGCTATTTCGACCCTCAGACCATTGAGAAATCTTGCCATTGTAGCCTCTCTATCTTCTTGAATATCAGCTCTCAACATGGAGATTTCCATGTCCTTGTAGTAGTCCTCAACTGAGCGTTGACCTTGTGTCAAGGTTTGAAGTTTTTGGTACAAGTCTCTATGGTAGTGACTTGGTACAAATCGCTTCTTCATCAGTCTCTTGAGCTCAGTCCAAGTGGTTATAGGTGGTTCTCCACACCTTCTCCTGCTTGTAACCACTTGTTCCCACCAAACTATGGCATAGTCGGTGAATTCTACTACGGCAAGTCTCAATTTTTGTGCATCGGTGTAGTCATTACAATCGAATACTAGCTCCACTCGACTTTCCCATTCAAGGTATGTATCCGGATCAGATTTGCCTTGGAAAGGAGGAATCTTCATCTTAATCCCCTTGATGGCATCACCGATTGCTCTTGTGTTTCGCTTTGGTCTTCTTTGCTCGTATGCCTCATGTTCCGAATCGGCATTGGAGTCACTAGATTCCCCCAGGGTGAATTTTCCCCTAGATTTCCTAGAAGAAGCCCTAGACGAACTTAGTTGATCAATTTGCTCATGGATTGTTTCCAACCTTTGGTCAAATCTCCTCTGCATTTCCTTCCACATATTATCCATTTTAAGTGATAACTGAGCAATGGTAATTTCATGTTCCTGAGACATGGTGAAACCTGCAAAACTTGACAAATTGTTAGTAGAAAATGCCTCACTTGCTCCCTTAAGTGTTTCACTCCTCTCGTGTTTTCACTCAAGTGTGTATGGCACTCTAATGCTCTCACCAATTCACTTCTCAAACCACTTGTTTGTTTCCTTTGAAGAAATCAGAAATTTTCTCAAGGAAGTTCAATCAAACTTTAATCAAAATAGCTCCCAATTGTATCAAAGGAACAAGGAAACAAAAAGTAGAAATGGAAAGCTCAAGTAATGAATAAGGAATGGAAGAGGAAAGAATTGATGTACAAAGAAAAAGAAAGTCCAAGTACGATGATGGAGTTCCCAAGTGCTTTACTTAATTGCCCAATTGATTTTTGGAAACAAGTTAGGTGTTGGACGTATTTGGAATTTTCCTTAAAGTCGGCTAACCAAACAGAATTATTACCAAAATTTTTCCAGATTCCCTCTCCAAAAACCTTCCAAAATTTTTCCAGATTCCCTCTCCAAAAACCTTCCTAAAGTCGACTATAACAAATCAGAATTGTTCCCAAAAAAAATTCCAGATTTCCTTCTCTTTTGAAACCTCCCAAAGTCGGCTGCAAAACAGAATTTGGTAGCTAAAAAAATTTCCAGATTTCTGCTCCTTTTAAACCTTCGAAAGTCGGCTGCAAAACAGAATTTGGTAGCTTCCTAACCGCTGAAAATTTCCAGATTTGTTACCTTATCAAATCAGAATAGCTTCCACGAAAAAAATTCCAGATTTCTTGTCTTCTTAAATTCCCCTCAAAGTCGGCTGGAATTTCCTAAAAAATTTACCAGATTTGGTAGCTTCCTAACCCCAAAATTTTCCAGAATTACCTCTTCTTAAACCCCCTCAAAATTTTCGTCCCTTACTCTCCCTCAAGAACAACAATTCGGCCCTCCCCTCTTTGCTCCACACAAGGACAGTTTTGACGCTTGGTGCTAACAATGGCTTCACAAGATGACACAAGCAACGTCACCCAAGAATACCCCAAGCGGCCTGCTCAAGAAACTCCCAAGAGGTTTACTCCTAAGCCAAGAAAGCCCCGTATGGATGCAAGGACGTACAAGAAACTGTTTATACGTAGGAAAGTGCAAATCTTCAAGAATCAAGATGGTCAAGATCCTCAAAAGACTCAACGGGTGATACAAGTGATCAAGGCTCAAGGTGTGCAAGATTTTCAAGAGGAGGTTGGTCAAAACTTTTGAGTAGTCTTTTTCTTGATGTAATTTTCTGGTTTGTTGAAACAATTGCAACAAGACAGAATTTGGCAAATAAAAGTGCGGCTTCCTTCTTTGTTGTTTGCTACCCGAGTGCCCTTTCTCTTTTTCTTTTTTTCTATTTTTTTTTTTGACTCTAAGAACACACAATTACTCGGCTGTTCTTGGGTAAAATTCCAGAATTTAATGTCAAACCAATGTTCTCCTTCAATCCTCCAATAACTATCAAAACATGTATCAAGATTTTGAGACTTCAAGATTTGTTTCAAGAAACTCAAGAATCCCTAGATTATTGTAGTTCCTCTTCAAGATTCCAACCCCAAACAAGTTTAACCACAAAAATCAGTTTAGGAAATTAATGAAAACAACTTGGTGGAATAAACTAAAGTTTGGACAGATTTGGCAAGAAACTTGCACCCAAGGAAACCCTAGTTGCAAGTGAAAACCCTAGCCGTCGCAGAATTTTTTTTTTTTTTTGTTTGATATTTAAACAGAATATGCAACGAACAAAACACGGCTACACTTGAAGGCAGGCTTCAAGACAGAATCACACAACAAGTAATGCACGAAGTGGACACGAAGCAAAAGAAATCAAAGAGTGACTCAACAAGACAACAAAGGCGGACAGAATTTTTTTTTTTTGTAATAACAATCGGACTTGACACAAAGGAAGACACGACCAGAATTGCAAAATAAAATTGACTAGAAAGCTTACGAACAAACTCAACGGGATATACTTGATGTCGTCGACTAGCTCTGGATACCAACTGATGTGCGACGGATCTAGACGAACACCAAGTTGGGATGATTGGCGGAACTTTGACCCTTCTAGAATCACGAGCCACGAACTAAGGAGATTCCTTAACCCACGACTAGCAAATTTAGTGAACCAAAAGTATGGATAGAAGAACGCCACAATCAAGGAGACTACTTGATTGATAAGTTCGATGAACAACTTGAGATTAATTCTCAAGTATTCAAAGGAAATTCTCTTGAGGCAAGAGAGAGTGAAATAACTCACATATATTTTATAAAATCTGAATTGTCCTTTATTGAATGAAAACCTAGGCTATATATAGCCTTACAGGACTCAAACCCTAGAATGTCCAATGGACGACCTTGCCCTTCATTAAGGGCGAAAATGTCTAACAACTAATTGACTAAAATTAAGACTCCAAATTCGGCCAAAGTGAAGTGAAAATTGACCGAAATTATTAATGCTAACAAACAACTAATAATGGAAACTAAAACCCTAATTAGCAAGCTAGTACTCCGCGAACTAGTCTTTACTTGAATCTTCCAATTCCCCATGTGCTTGAATGGAATGGGCCTTGGTCTCTATATTCTCATCAGACTATTTTCAAACTAAAATATCTCTTGAGATCTTGTAAACAAAGTGTGCAAAAGTACTTGTCTTGTTTAGAATCGTTTGTATTTGAAGGGGACCTAAAATGGGCTTCATTAATGCTTCTAACGGATAGAAGGCAGATGAAGAGTCAGCTAGCCGTTGGGGATGTCGGACGTCCTACAGCTTAGTCATCGTCCGATCCCATCGTCCGAAAATCAGTCAAGTTGTTGTTCGGACGTCCGATGGGATTTTATCGTCCGAGCTTCTGTGTCCGAACGTCGTCCAGAGAGTTATCAAAGCTTTGTGGAATTTTTAGGACGTCCGATGAGATTGATGTGCGTCCGAAGCATGCGTCCGATCCTTCAGGACGTCCGATGCTTCCTTACGAGCGTCCGACAGTATTTCCTTCTTGATGTTTTTCATCCTTTCGGACGTCCGATATGAGTGTCCTGTTTTTGCTTCTTCTTTTGGTTGATATTCATTTCTTGACATATTCGTACCTGATTCTTTGATAGGCAAAAAACACTTATATTTGAAGAGAGTTAGATAAACATTTCAAAGTACATTGTGATCATCAAAACCAAGAATAACATTCTCCCCCTTTTTGATGATGACAAAACAATGGTTTGAAATGCGATTTGATGATTGCAAAATAAGCTCCCCCTTTCTCAATTGACAAAAACTCCCCCTTACTTAGTGAATCATAGAGCAAAAATTTGAAAAACTCCCCCTCACTTGGCTACCCTACCTAATTAATCAATTATCCAAAAATATAACCATTAAGCAGCCAACATCCAACATTTTACCAATTCAATCCATCAAGCCAATTCAATTTCAATTAAATCATCAATCAATCCAATCCAGTCCTCTCCCCCTTTTTGTCATCACAAAAGGCCAATCAATCACATATATCACGGAGAACCAAAAAACATTCATCACATCCACACATTCATCATTCAATATACTTAAAATCCATCCACATATCCATAACCATTACAGCCATAATCATCCATGAAAAAGTACTAAACGAACATAACATAAACATAAGCATTATATCTACAAATCCATTGTTGAACACCACAAACACTAAAAATACATGAAATAGTCAAACAAAATGCAAATGACCCTATGGTGAACTAGGTGGATCCAGGTGTCCTTCGAGAAAGCTGATATTGGGAGAGGTCCTCCTCTTCAGTTTCTTCATCATCTTCAGCAGCTTCTTCAACTGGTGCCTTGCCTTTATCTGATGTGGAAGGGCCATGAGGAGTCACAGGAGTTGATGAGTTCGGGTCTGGAATTGATGAACTTGGATCAGTGGGGCGTGGCTCTTTGCCATGTGAAACTTCCTCAACCATAGGTGGGGGAAAAAGAATGTTCTTTTTGTCTAGGTAGGCTGTTTGATGTTCAGAGGACATGGTGAGCATTAGACCATGTTCTAGAAGAAGAACATGCTGTTTGAGTTCACGAAGGAGCTCAATCACTTCATCATTGGAGGAGGAAGATATCTTAGTGGCAGACTTCCTAGGATGAATGGGAGTGAGTGCAATAGATGAAGGATTGTGTAGTGGATCATGTGCAGCCTTAGACCTAGGTTCACTGGATGATGCCCCCTTATAAGCCCATAGATTATCCTTAAAGACAAGATTTTTCCTTTCAAAATATCCTTTGGTAAAGGCATAAGAAGATGCTTCTTTAGGACAAACACCAAGAATTGGTACTTTGTAAAACTCAAAGATCTTTTGAAGAAATTTTCCAAACCCTAGAATGTCCAATGGACGACCTTGCCCTTCATTAAGGGCGAAAATGTCTAACAACTAATTGACTAAAATTAAGACTCCAAATTCGGCCAAAGTGAAGTGAAAATTGACCGAAATTATTAATGCTAACAAACAACTAATAATGGAAACTAAAACCCTAATTAGTAAGCTAGTACTCCGCGAACTAGTCTTTACTTGAATCTTCCAATTCCCCATGTGCTTGAATGGAATGGGCCTTGGTCTCTATATTCTCATCAGACTATTTTCAAGCTAAAATATCTCTTGAGATCTTGTAAACAAAGTGTGCAAAAGTACTTGTCTTGTTTAGAATCGTTTGTATTTGAAGGGGACCTAAAATGGGCTTCATTAATGCTTCTAACGGATAGAAGGCAGATGAAGAGTCAGCTAGCCGTTGGGGATGTCGGACGTCCTACAGCTTAGTCATCGTCCGATCCATCGTCCGAAAATCAGTCAAGTTGTTGTTCGGACGTCCGATGGGATTTTATCGTCCGAGCTTCTGTGTCCGAACGTCGTCCAGAGAGTTATCAAAGCTTTGTGGAATTTTTAGGACGTCCGATGAGATTGATGTGCGTCCGAAGCATGCGTCCGATCCTTCAGGACGTCGTCCGATGCTTCCTTACGAGCGTCCGACAGTATTTCCT